GTTTTTGCATTGTACAATGATTTCAAGACGGGTCTGTTTTCTGTACGAAATATTTCAGTTTTTTTTTTTCGAACACGTTGTTGATGAAGGCTTCTGAAGAAATTTCAGTGTGTTCACACCTATCAACACTGGTGTTTTAAGCTTTGCAGCGTTTTTACAACCATCAACACTGGTGTTTTAAGTTCTGCAGCGTGTTTACAACCATCAACACTGGTGTTTTAAGTTCTGCAGCGTGTTTACAACCATCAACACTGGTGTTTTAAGCTTTGCAGCGTTTTTACAACCATCAACACTGGTGTTTTAAGTTGTGCAGCGTGTTTACAACCATCAACACTCGTGATTAAGTTCTGCAGCGTGTTTACAATACTGATGTTTTGTATTCCCTTCAGAATCAAGGACACTATTGTTTTGCAGCGCTTGAATTGAAAATACAGGTGATCTGCCTTAAGTTCACAACCACGAAAATTCATCTTAAATCTGCTGAGGATGAAGGAGGAGCAGGACGAGGTGCTTGGTAATGTAGTCAGGACCTTCTTTCCAGGCTGGCAGTGTGGTGTGTCTGGGGCGTAGGAACACAGTCAACTGGAATAAGAAAAAAAAAGTTTTTTTATAATTCATACTGAGGCATTGAGTCGCGTGCTCATATACAAACCTTCTTATGCACACACACACACACACACACACACACACACACACACACACACACACACACACACACACACACACACACACACTACCCTCTATACTCACCAGGCCAAGGGTCTAGTGACAAGTACCTTTGGCAACGGCTAAATAACCCATACATAAAAAAGTGTCTATCGACAGGTGTCTTTGACAACTTGTAACTAACACACAAAAAAAGTGTCTATTGACAAGCGTCTTTTACAAATGGTAACTAACATCATGAGGGAAGTTCAAATGACGACAATAAGACAGACTAGACTTAGGAGTAATTATTCTGTTCCCATAGTTGCAAATATTTAATGACACATTCAGCCGGATAATTTCACACAGTGATAGTTGCTTCCCTGGCTAGTGTCTGAGATAAAACACTTGAGCGGTGAGGACGGAGTAAGATAACCAAACCTCACAACACCGGAAAAATGAAAACTCGGGGACGGGCGGGGGAACCTCCATGATCACAATATACAAGATACTTGGAAGCATCGACAACGTGGTAACTTGAATTGGCGTTGCCAGGCAGCATGTCCTTAAGCATTTATCTGTTTATCATAAAATGCACTGTCGACATATTACAGTCTAGGTAAGTTATGTAAATATAAGTTATTATACATTAAGCTAAATAAATCTAAACTAACCTAAGCCTAACTGAGAATAAGAAATCTTATAATTTCCAAAAAAAAAAAAAAAAAAAAAAAAAAAAAAAAAAACAGAGCTAACAAAAGCGAATGAAGGGCATTTCGTCTTTTATTGCACGATCTAATTAGAGAACAGGTTGAAGGACGATGGAACACGAATGGAAACTAGACAACAATATTTTGTACATATAAAGTTCTCCGGTGACCGTAGTGGAGGCAGACTACATAATCTGAATTCCATTCCCTTGAACCACAGATGAGCACCCGAGTCTTCAACCCAGGTGACTGACTACCCGAGTCTTCAACCCAGGTGACTGACTACCCGAGTCTTCAACCCAGGTGACTGACCTACCCGTTGTCTTCAACCCAGGTGACTGACTACCCGTGTCTTCAACCCAGGTGACTGACTACCCGTGTCTTCAACCCAGGTGACTGACTACCCGTGTCTTCAACCCAGGTGACTGACTACCCGAGTCTTCAACCCAGTGTGACTGACTACCCGAGTCTTCAACCCAGGTGACTGACTACCCGTGTCTTCAACCCAGGTGACTGACTACCCGTGTCTTCAACCCAGGTGACTGACTACCCGTGTCTTCAACCCAGGTGACTGACTACCCGAGTCTTCAACCCAGGTGACTGACTACCCGTGTCTTCAACCCAGGTGACTGACTACCCGTGTCTTCAACCCAGGTGACTGACTACCGAGTCTTCAACCCAGGTGACTGACTACCCGTGTCTTCAACCCAGGTGACTGACTACCCGTGTCTTCAACCCAGGTGACTGACTACCCGAGTCTTCAACCCAGGTGACTGACTACCCGAGTCTTCAACCCAGGTGACTGACTACCCGTGTCTTCAACCCAGGTGACTGACTACCCGTGTCTTCAACCCAGGTGACTGACTACCCGAGTCTTCATCCCAGGTGACTGACTACCCGAGTCTTCAACCCAGGTGACTGACTACCCGTGTCTTCAACCCAGGTGATGACTACCCGTGTCTTCAACCCAGGTGACTGACTACCGTGTCTTCAACCCAGGTGACTGACTACCCGTGTCTTCAACCCAGGTGACTGACTACCCGAGTCTTCAACCCAGGTGACTGACTACCCGTGTCTTCAACCCAGGTGACTGACTAACCCGTGTCTTCAACCCAGGTGACTGACTACCCGTGTCTTCAACCCAGGTGACTGACTACCCGTGTCTTCAACCCAGGTGACTGACTACCGAGTCTTCAACCCAGGTGACTGACTACCCGTGTCTTCAACCCAGGTGACTGACTACCCGTGTCTTCAACCCAGGTGACTGACTACCCGAGTCTTCAACCCAGGTGACTGACTACCCGTGTCTTCAACCCAGGTGACAGACTACCCGAGTCTTCAACCCAGGTGACTGACTACCGTGTCTTCAACCCAGGTGACTGACTACCCGTGTCTTCAACCCAGGTGACTGACTACCCGAGTCTTCAACCCAGGTGACTGACTACCCGTGTCTTCAACCCAGGTGACTGACTACCCGTGTCTTCAACCCAGGTGACTGACTACCCGAGTCTTCAACCCAGGTGACTGACTACCCGTGTCTTCAACCCAGGTGACTGACTACCCGTGTCTTCAACCCAGGTGACTGACTACCCGTGTCTTCAACCCAGGTGACTGACTACCCGTGTCTTAACCCAGGTGACTGACTACCCGTGTCTTCAACCCAGGTGACTGACTATATGTGTCTTCAACCCAGGTGACTGACTACCCGTGTCTTCAACCCAGGTGACTGACTACCCGTGTCTTCAACCCAGGTGACTGACTACCAGTGTTCTTCAACCCAGGTGACTGACTACCCGTGTCTTCAACCCAGGTGACTGACTACCCGTGTCTTCAACCCAGGTGACTGACTACCCGTGTCTTCAACCCAGGTGACTGACTACCCGAGTCTTCAACCCAGGTGACTGACTACCCGAGTCTTCAACCCAGGTGACTGACTACCCGTGTCTTCAACCCAGGTGACTGACTACCCGTGTCTTCAACCCAGGTGACTGACTATATGTGTCTTCAACCCAGGTGACTGACTACCCGTGTCTTCAACCCAGGTGACTGACTACCCGAGTCTTCAACCCAGGTGACTGACTACCCGAGTCTTCAACCCAGGTGACTGACTACCCGTGTCTTCAACCCAGGTGACTGACCATATGTGTCTTCAACCCAGGTGACTGACTACCCGTGTCTTCAACCCAGGTGACTGACTACCCGTGTCTTCAACCCAGGTGACTGACTACCCGTGTCTTCAACCCAGGTGACTGACTACCCGTGTCTTCAACCCAGGTGACTGACTATATGTGTCTTCAACCCAGGTGACTGACTACCCGTGTCTTCAACCCAGGTGACTGACTACCCGTGTCTTCAACCCAGGTGACTGACTACCCGTGTCTTCAACCCAGGTGACTGACTATATGTGTCTTCAACCCAGGTGACTTGACTACCCGTGTCTTCAAACCCAGGTGACTGACTACCCGTGTCTTCAACCAGGTGACTGACTACCCGTGTCTTCAACCCAGGTGACTGACTACATGTGTCTTCAACCCAGGTGACTGACTATATGTGTCTTCAACTCAGGTGACTGACTACCCGTGTCTTCAACCCAGGTGATGACTACCCGTGTCTTCAACCCAGGTGACTGACTACCCGTGTCTTCAACCCAGGTGACTGACTACATGTGTCTTCAACCCAGGTGACTGACTACCCGTGTCTTCAACCCAGGTGACTGACTACATGTGTCTTCAACCCGGGTGACTGACTACCCGTGTCTTCAACCCAGGTGACTGACTACATGTGTCTTCAACCCGGTGACTGACTACCCCGTGTCTTCAACCCAGGTGACTGACTACCGTGTCTTCAACCCAGGGTGACTGACTACCCGAGTCTTCAACCCAGGTGACTGACTACCCGGTGTCTTCAACCCAGGTGACTGACTACCCGTGTCTTCAACCCAGGTGACTGACTATATGTGGGCTTCAACCCAGGTGACTGACTACCCGAGTCTTCAACCCAGGTGACTGACTACCGTTGTCTTCAACCCAGGTGACTGACTCTACCCGTGTCTTCAACCCAGGTGACTGACTAACCCGAGTCTTCATCCCAGGTGACTGACTACCCGAGTCTTCAACCCAGGTGACTGACTACCCGTGTCTTCAACCCAGGTGACTGACTACCCGTGTCTTCAACCCAGGTGACTGACTACCCGTGTCTTCAACCCAGGTGACTGACTATATGTGTCTTCAACCCAGGTGACTGACTATCCCGAGTCTTCAACCCAGGTGACTGACTACCCGTGTCTTCAACCCAGGTGACTGACTATATGTGTCTTCAACCCAGGTGACTGACTACCCGAGTCTTCAACCCAGGTGACTGACTACCCGAGTCTTCAACCCAGGTGACTGACTATATTGTGTCTTCAACCCAGGTGACTGACTACCCGTGTCTTCAACCCAGGTGACTGACTACCGTGTCTTCAACCCAGGTGACTGACTATATGTGTCTTCAACCCAGGTGACTGACTACCCGTGTCTTCAACCCAGGTGACGACTACCCGTGTCTTCACCAGGTGACTGACTACCCGTGTCTTCACCCAGGTGACGACTACCCGTGTCTTCAACCCAGGTGACTGACTACCCGTGTCTTCAACCCAGGTGACTGACTACCCGTGTCTTCAACCCAGGTGACTGACTACCGTGTCTTCAACCCAGGTGACTGACTACATGTGTCTTCAACCCAGTGACTGACTACCGTGTCTTCAACCAGGTGACTGACTACCCGTGGTCTTCAACCCAGGTGACTGACTATATGTGTCTTCACCCAGGTGACTGACTACCCGAGTCTTCAACCCAGGTGACTGACTACCCGAGTCTTCAACCCAGGTGACTGACTACCCGTGTCTTCAACCCAGGTGATGACTATATGTGTCTTCCACCCAGGTGACTGACTACCCGAGTCTTCAACCCAGGTGACTGACTACCCGAGTCTTCAACCCAGGTGACTGACTACCCGTGTCTTCAACCCAGGTGACTGACTATATGTGTCTTCAACCCAGGTGGACTGACTACCCGATCTTCAACCAGGTGACTGACTACCCGTGCTTCAACCCAGGTGACTGACTATATGTGTCTTCAACCCAGGTGACTGACTACCCGTGTCTTCAACCCAGGTGACTGACTACCCGTGTCTTCAACCCAGGTGACTGACTACCCGTGTCTTCAACCCAGGTGACTGACTATATGT